GTCTTTTGTTGTTTCAGCCGTCGGTGGGAACTCGATAGCGGTCTTTACTATTGGGTTTGACATACACCACTTACAGTTAGATGATCAACGTAGCACGGTCAGTACCTACTTACATATTTCAATTTAAATCAATTCCTATTCTGTGAAATTTTGTGAAACCCACCCTGAAAAATTCTTGTTCATTTTCTGTATCCCTTGAAGGTGTACTGGAGCATTAATCTTGAAAATTTAAATTACGATGATTTTGGTGTCATCTCTGATTGATCTCTTAAAAATAAAATCCATTTCAAGGACAAGGCCCTTGCTGTGGAATGAAAAAGCAAAAACTACCATGTAATCTTTCTCTCTGAAATGGCTACATATTTGATAATTCCATTGGCAGAGGGGTGTTGCAAGAGGCATGACTTGCCTGGCTAATGACAGATACCACAGTAAAAAGCTTTAATTCAAAAAGTCATTTAGTCTTGGACGCAAGAGCTTAAAACTAATCAAATCAAGAGTGACCTTTGAAAATTGATTGTCCATGAGCAGAGATATTGGCCAAATGATGTTATTCACATTTGATATACATAATTAAAGAGTTAGTTTTCAAGATTTTCATTACCAGGTTACTTTTAGATAGCTTTAATGTTATAGAATTAACAGAAAGATTTTTTTTGCTTAAAACTTCAAGATAAGGCAATGGATATATTCCTCTAGTCTTTGGTCTAAAGTATTTATTACTTTTTGCACATAACTTTCCAAACCTACTTTAAAAATAAGAATCTTGACTTTTAGGGTTCCAAGAACAAAGGAGCTGGTCTTTAGCTTCAACAGGACATTACATTTGGAGGTCAATACGGTTATGGTGGAGCACAAGATAATGTCCTAAAGGCGACTCTTGGAACGAAGCCAGGTAAGGATATTTTTATAGCTATCTTGGATATGATGTTGCTATACAAGTCATTATATACACACTGTAAATATTACATTTAGAAACATAAGATCAAGTTCCGAAGCTCTAATACGCTTGTTACTGAGTAACAGACTGTTCCATAGAATCCATCAACTGTTTGGATTTATGTATTTGTTGAATTATTTCATTTGTGCCATATCAAAGAATTACGTTGTATATTTTTGATTTTAGGTGTAAATAGATAGAGCTTCATTATACAGAAGTCAAGTGCTTATGGTGTGGCACAGAAGCTCGCAAGGCAAGTTTGTTTTAGAAATATTTGTTCTGTAATTTAAACCATTTTGATATTCTTAATTTGAAATATCTTGCAACACTCTGATACAGTTTTGTGAATCATGATATTTTTGTTCAAAAATAAACAAATACATGGTATTTATATGAGTAATCAGCCAATCAAGACCTTATAGAATGATGACGCCAAAATGTGATCTCTGATTTAAGGGTGTTTCATGGCCTCTCACACATTGTATTTGTTTTTAACAAATTACTTAAAATGGTAGTCATCTAATTATTTGCAATTATGTATTTATATTTTTCAGGTTAGAAAGGGTAAATCGTCTGGTAATTTACCTACCCACAATAGCACTGCCACAATAGGGGTGTTCTGAGGTCATGACCTGTATGACTTTTCAGACCTCCTATTCACAGATGAAGAGGAACAGATGAAGAACAGATGAAGCGGCGCCTACAGAACAGATGAAGAACAGAAAGAAGTATGAAGAACAAGTGAAGAATGCTAAAGAAAAGATCAACAGATGAAAAGAGGGACATCCAAAGAGTACTTAATAAGAAGAACCAAGTCTTCAGATGAAAAGCCATGGGTATGTTACAAGGGATTTAGTGAACATTGTCATCTTAATTTTTAAAATGAAAACATAATACTTCAACGACATTTAGAAATGAGGCATACATATAACAGAAACAAGGCAATATTATGGATTTAACATAATTATTTCTATAATAAACATAATAAAACAATAGGGATGACTTAAATGAGTACCATTTATACATTTTGTTATGTTTTATGGCGCATGTAAATTGTGCTGAAAAGTTGATTGTCGTGTGTTTAATTAGTTTATCTAAGTAGTGTGCTTATTTCATAATATTGCCTTGTGTTTTGTTAAAATCTGACTTGGTTCTTCTACAACTGAATTATGGTTATATGATTGACTACCATTCAAGGCTGTGCCCGCATATGCATATCAGTAATGACATAGTTTCAAAGGAATACTACCTTTTAGAATGAACATTAAATTTAGATTCTCAAATTTGGCCTATAAATGTATGTATTCATCAGTGGGGTAAAAGTTGTGGTCTTGAAAATAGATGCATCCCGCTTTTTCTAACTCGGTGTTTCTTTGTGAGTCTCCCCAAAGTGCAAGAATGTGGGTTCCCAACTCTTTTGGGAATTGCGAAAAAGTGTCAAGAAATACTGGTTTTTGTTCAGATGTTGACGCTTCAAAGTTGGAATCCAAAAAAGTGCAAATAGCAAGATACCATAGAAAAATCTGTGAATGTTGTTCAATAATTACATAAAGTAATAATTACTAATGCATTTATCTGTTGTTTATTCTAAGAGGGAGTATTTCTTTGAAAAAAAAAACAAGTTGCTTATTTACATAATTCTTTTCTTATTTCAGCTGAAGAGCTCACAAGAAGTTGGTGTTTCTGCATTTGGTTTGTCTGCATTGATTAGGTGTTTCTGCATTGATTAGGTGTTTCTGCATTGAGTTGGTGTTTCTGCATTATTAGTTCTGCTTCCAACGACTAGTTTTTACTGGAGCCTTTTGAATTGACTTTCTCCTTGCGCTAGAATAAGACATCTTTCCTCAGTATTCTATTCGACTCAGCTGTAAATGGGTATGGATAAACTGAGTAACATCATTGCCAAGAAATTTGGTCAAGGAACAGCTGTAAGACAGGATCTTGTGAACCTAAGCTGTCCTTGTAAAAATATCTTTCTTTCATCTATCAGTAGGATGACTAACCTTTCTGCAACCGAGTTCTGGGCCATGTGTCTCAAAAAAATCTCACAATCAATATTTGTCTAAGTATGGTATTTCTCAGTGTAAAATTCCACACTTAAGATAGATTTCTATTGAAAGATTTTTTGAGAAACGGGCCACGTATTTCTGCTTCCATTCGGTGTTTCTGCACCTTTGACTAGATACCAGTTAATCATACCAAGATTACCTTTCCACTACCATTCAACAAGAATTGCCATGATACGAAGTCCATCAGCAATTATTTGGATGTTTGCTCAATAGCTTTCATACCTTCTTTTTTTCAGCTTTATTGTTCGTATTTCTGTTTTTTGATTTGGGGTATTTTTCTATGTACAGCTTTGGAAGTTCAGGTCAAAGTTGGCAGTTATGGTCGAAGTGAGTGTATGAGGTCTAATGTCAAAGATGGTGGTTGGGGTCAAAGGTCAGTGATAGTTGTTGAGGTCAAAGGTCAAAGATGGTGGTTGAGGTCACAGGTCAAAGTTGATATATAAGGTCAAAGTTGATATATGAGGTCAAGGTCAAAGTTGATATTTGAGATCAGGGGTCAAAGTTGGTAGTTGAGGTCAAAGTTTTCTTTTCAGGATATGGTGGTACGGATGAAGGGAGGGTTATCAGATGAGAAGAAGTATGCATGCACATAAAGAAACCGCAGGTATGGTCATCTAAATCTTTTCATTTTACCAGCCGATAGAAATGAAATGGTGTCATACCTGCAATTGTGTTAAATGAGGAAAATTCTGCAGGATATAAGGATTTCAATTTCCACCAGTCAAGGATGTGAACAGCCTTTAGCACACAAACTCACTGAGCCGCAGCTGCTTCCTGCCAGCTAATAAAGCCAAACCATTGCACTTTTTCAATATTTTTGAGGTTATTTTTTTGTTTTTTTTTTGTTTTTCAGATAATGGTGGAAAGAGTAATAGTTTTTTGGGTGTCTGCTTTTTTTGTTTTGGCTTGGCTTTCTGTCATATTTGTTTGGCTTTCTGCTTTAGTTTGTTCAGACGTGTGCTGTTTTGTCCATGACTTTTGTTTAGTTGTGTTGGTTTTAGTTTTTTTTGGATCATGAACTGGTAGGTTTAGAAGTTTTGTTAGTTTCAATTTCAATTGGGGAAGGGGGAGTGTAATGATGTTTTTCTATTTCAGTAATTGGTATTTTTCTGGTCAAGAAATAAAATATTCTCTGTTGGCTTGTGAATAAGTGGGATTGGCATGTAGCAATTCTTTCTGGAACTTGGTCTTGAGGTTAAGTATTATTTTATTATTATGTTTTATAATTTTCAGATATGGGTATTTATTGTGTCAGGGGATGTTCGGATGGGACAAAATACCTATACCACATGTGATACAGTCTGAGCACTCAACAGTGTAAAATCCAAAAAAATGTAGAGAAATATGTCAGATGGTTTATGATTTAATTTGTAAATTATTTTAGAAATCTTGCATACTGACCCTTTAATATATATGGTATTTTAATTATTATTAGATTACTTTTTAGTTTATTGAGAAGATAACAGTGTATGGTGTCAGATAATTGTGTTGGTGTATGGTGTCAGATAATGGTGTTGAAAAATGGTGTCGGATAATGGTGTTGGAGTATGGTTTCAGATAATGTTGTTTTTATGGTCTAAAAGNGGTGAAGAATATAAGTTTGAATCTTAAAATATCTGGAAATTTTAAAAATAACCAAATTTGACAGAACGCTA